CTGGGGGTTAGTGAGGTAGAGATTACAGTATTGGTGCACGGCTGGGGGTTAGTGAGACAGAGATTACAGTGTCTGTGCAGGGCTCTGTGGAGAGGATGCATCTGTCCAGGATTGTTCTCTCCAGGGAATGAAACTCAGCTCCAAGTTGCCGTGATGAAATGCTTTCTCTTTGTTTGCAGGAATGTTGCTGAAGAGCTTGTTGTTTATTGCCAGGCCTGGCCGACCGGTGAGTCCCTATCAGCAGTTTGATATTACAAGCAATTGCTAATCCTTTAGCCTGCATGGCCAGGCCGTTCAGTCCCTCTGCTCCATGCTTATACCACATGATCCTGCTCCCACCTCTGCTCTCCATCTCACTCTGTCTTTACTCTGCCTTGTGTGTTTACCCAGCTTCTCCCTGTAATGTGTCTGTGCTAATCGCCTTGACCACTCCCCATGGGTATGAGTTCCCCATTCTTCTCCCATTCACTGCGGGAGGTAGTCTGCCATTCTCCCCCTCTCCCTGTGGGAGCGAGTCTCCCATTCCTCCATGCAGGAGGGAGACCCCATTCTCCCTGTTCCCCAGATTTCTCTTGAATTCCCAGTTGGATTAATAACTGACATCTGATTTTTATGGCCCCCTAATTCTATTCCCCCACCCCCATGAATGGAAACACATTGTCTGTATCTGTCAGAGGGGCCACTGTGCTGTCAGAAGGTGGGTTCGAAGGGAGCAACTTTTCCAGCACTCTGTGTTTGAGGGAATGGGTGTGAGCTAGCTCAGACCTGACGGGCCGAAGTGCCTCTCCCGTGGTGTGTGATTCTATCCTAGGCCAGTACATCCACCCCTGCCACAATGGCAGCGAATGCTGTTAACGGACAGAACTCCTCTTCCCGCTTTCCTGCCAATTGCCGCAGGATCCTGAGGCTGCCTGTGAGATCCTTTCCTGGGATCGGCCTCTCCTCATTCTCGACTCAGCCATTTTGACGTTCCTGAACAGCTTGTCTGTCTGAATCCTTTTACAAAGGGAGAAGAACCCTGTGCTTACTGTTGCTGGGAGCTGACGTTGTAATACTGAAGTAAGCCGCCCCCTTGTGACCAATCTGCTACACTGCTCTCCGCAAAACCAGGAAGAAACTGCAAACACAAAGTGGTGTGGAACTGATCGAGTTGGTTGAGAGGACAGGAAAGAGCCCACAGGGGCCTGGCCTGGCCTGGCCTGGCCAGACCAGGCAAGGGTGGCAGATTCCCTTTCCTAAGAGGGAATATTAGTGAACCTGACAGGGTTTGGAGCAATCAGTGATGGTTACACGGTCACTGTCAGTGACTGGTTGTATTCCGTCTTTGTGAATGAGATTCCAGCAGCTGCTGTGGTAGGGTTTGAACCTTTAAGCCCTACTCCAACACATACTTACACGCATGCACGAAGAGACGCATGCACACAGAGACGCACGCACACACACACATACATACATACATACACACGCACACAGAGACACATACATACACAGACACGCGCACGCACACACACACAGACACACGCACGTACGCGCACACACACACACAAAGACGCGCGCACACACCAGCATTAGCCAGCACCTCTGGGATAGCTACTCCAGTGAAATTCCCACTGCACCACCATCACACCATGTTAAACAAGTCCTTATAACGTTAGAAATCCAGGCTGCAGCATGATGTGGGGTTCACTGCCACAGTTACTCTGCTGCCTTCGAGACAAGGCAGCTTAGTTTGAAGATAAGCCCGGTGTGACAAATTCCCAAGCCGCTACTCAGTGTCACAGAAATTTCTTTCTTGTGAAGAAACAGACGGTCAGCTACCACACTGCGGGAAAGTTCTCCCACCTGTGTATAGAATGTGGACACTGCACACGGTCTCTGGAACAAAAACAAGTTATTACGTGTAATTTGCATTGTAAGCAATTATGTAATTATGTTTTGTGTATAGAATAACAGATACCCAGGAGGGAGTTACAGACTGGAATCTAATCGAGGGGTTCGGGGTAGTTTATATATAGAATAACAGATACTCGGGAAGGAGTTACAGACTGGAATCTAATTGAGGGGTTTGGGGTAGTTTATATATAGAATAACAGATACTCGGGAAGGAGTTACAGACTGGAATCTAATCGAGGGGTTTGGGGTGGTTTATACACAGAATAACAGATACCCAGGAGGGAGTTACAGACTGGAATCTAATCGAGGGGTTCGGGGTAGTTTATATACAGAATAACAGATACCCGGGAAGGTGTTACAGACTGGAATCTAATAAAATAATGAACATCTGATTGTGAGCTGAATACGATTGGTGCAGAGTGCAGTGACTGTGTCGTGAAGGGTGGAACTCTGAGGGGGTTTGACACCTGCTTTAAGCTGTGCTTCACCTTTTACTGAATGTGTTGTAAAACGCTGAATTAGGTGGAATAGAGCGGTTTTTAATTTAAAGACAGTTCTCCAATTGCTGGACATGTCCAATCCGATGAAGTTCAGGGCACATGTCTCTGTGTGGGAGGTGGTTTATTCGCCTGGGTATATGTGTTCAACCCTGAGGACCATCGCAGTTTGTCCTGTTTGAGTGTGATTAATGCCGTTGCGTGTTTCGGTGTTGTTTATCTAGGTAAATCATGGCCGCTTGTTTCACTGGGGCCCCAACATGTGGGAGAGGTGTGCTCAGGCACAGACACTCTCAGCAGCCACAAGAGCAGTCTCTGTGTTCAGGACGGGAGAAATGGATCCTGTAAGTATCATACCATCTGCTGCCTCTCCATTGCCTTTCAAAAGCAGGGAAGTCATTCATTTATGGTTCTTGCTGCTAAACTGCTTCTGCTTATGTAGGATTGTCTCAAACAGGCAGCAATTTATAACAATTCCCTCCGTTCCTCTCCTGCCCAGCTCTTTTTACTTGGGCTGTTTGTGTTTTTACTGAGACTGACTGTTTACATACAGTGGCTGGTCTAACCTATACCTGAAGCACTCTGTGTCCATCTGAGCTACGTTGGGTGAACCCAAGTAGAGAGAGCCCGAAACCAGCTGGAATGTTCTCCTCTAAGGAGCCCAGTAACTGCTACAAGTGCTCAGCAGATCTGGTATCTGTGGGAAAAGAGAGAGAGAGATACTGGGTCACTGTGACCTTCCATTGGATATTTCTGCTGCTGATAGCTGTGTGTGTGTGTGTGTGTATCTGTGTGTGTGTGTGTGTCTGTGTGTGTGTGTCTGTGTGTGTGTGTGTGTAGTCACTCAGTGAAAATACCGGCTGACTTGGTGGGCAGCAGTGTGGGCTCAGTAACTGTTCTACGCGCAAAATTGACCCTGCACTTCAACGCACACCACCCTGGCCAACATCTCTGCCTCAGGCTCGCTGCAGTGTTCCAGTGAAGCACAAAGCAAGCTGGAAGAACAGCACCTCGTTTTCCGCTTGGGGGACCCTGCAGTCTACAGAACCCAGTATTGAGGTCACTAATTTGAGGGCCCGAGCACCGTCTTCCCTATCCTTTGCCCACCCCCCCGACAACACACACACACAAACACCAGGCCTGTTGTCACACGAACAGCTTCCACAACCAACCCACTGTCAGCCACTAATGGTCTCCATTGATTCTCTCAGGCTGACCTTTCCCCATCCCTGTGTTTGCCCGACTGCTGTTTTCTCTCTCTCTCTCTGGGCTCTGTGGACCCAAGACGTTAACTCTGCTTTCTCTCCACAGAAAGTGCCAGAGTTTCTCCAGCAATTTCTGTCTTTATTTTGGCCTCAGCGGCTTCTGTTCAAACTCATTGTGCAATCTGGCTTCATTTCCCCCTTCACCACAACCCCAAAAAAAACCTCTTCAAACACCCCTCTCTTCACCCTTGCTGTTGTTTCAGCTGTTGGTGAGCTTCCTAAGGCTGACTGGATCTGAGGCAGGGCACTGTGGGACTGAAGTGGATTTGGTTTGTTTTTGTGCAGGGACTTCACAATGACCAGCACGAAGGGCTGCACTACACCATCTCCCCCAGCGACCTGAAAACTGTCTTCCCCCATGGCCTGACTCGCCGATTCCAGAAGCAGGTAAGGTCTGGGTGGCAGGGAAAGGCTGGCGGAGTTAACTCATTCAGTGCCAGTCAGGAGAGAAAACCATCCCCTGTGTTAGACCCACACTGGGCTACGGCTCTCGGAGAGGCTTACCATCCTGAATGCCCATCAGAGGAGGAGTCATCCTCATTGCCCAATCTGCTTCTATCTCCAGCTCGTCCTTCCTTATACCCGGTGAAAGGAGGGAGCAAAATTGATTCCGATCCCCACCCTTCTCTCACCTTGGCCATCCCTGAGTCTTCCCTTAGCACTTCTTTATGTCTCTGCTTCCATTTTTGGGATGGGCTGTCCTCCAACAACCAGTACAAGCCTTCCAATTCCCACCCGTTACCTTGATGACACTTTGTCGCACCCTACTTCCTGCAAGGATTCCATCCCATTCTCCCCAGTTTCTCTGTCTCTGTTGAAGGTTGAGCAAATGCGACAGAGACAGAGAAACTGGGGAGAATGGGATGGAATCCTTGCAGGAAGTAGGGTGCGACAAAGTGTCATCAAGGTAACAGTGGGACCAGCAAGGTTGAAGGCCACTTCAAGTATGAAAGTGAGAAAAGGGGAGGTCATGTCAAACGTTGGTCTCGTTTCCCACACTCCTGTCCTCCTCCCTTCCTCTCCTTCCCAGTACAATGATTCCTGTGCCCATAGGAATGACCCTAACCTTGCACTTGCTTGCCATTTCAGTAAAACCTCCGTGCTGCCATGCAGTAAAACCTCCATGCTGCCATTTCTGTCCTGGGCCTACTGCAATGCTTCAGGACAGCACAACGCAAACTCATCTTCCACATCAACACTTCATAGTCTCGAGGTCGCACCATTGAACCCAACAACTTCAGAGCCTGACCTCGTCTGTGTTCCCCTCTTCCCTGTGAGTTTGTCCTCTTTGTGTCTCGTGTCTCAGCCAAGAGGTCCCATTGTCACCCTTCTGTGCCTTAACTTCCACTGAAAATAAAACCAAAGAATGATGGATGCTGAAGATCAGAAACAAAAAAACAGAAATTGCAGGAGAAGCTCAGCATCTGTGGAGAGAGAAACACATTTTGCCTCCATGATCCAGTGTTTCTGGACTCGAAATGTTAACTCTGCTTTCTCTCTCCAGGGATGCTGCCAGACCCACTGAGCTTCTCCAGCAATTTCCTGTTTGTCATAGAATCCCTACAGTCTGGAAACAGGCCCTTCGGCCCAGCAAGTCCACACCGACCCTCAACACGTCCCACCCAGACCCATCATCCTATAACACACCTAATCTACACATCCCTGAACACTTCGGGCAATTTAGCATGGCCAGTCCACCTAACCTGCACATCTTTGGACTGTGGGAGGAAACCGGAGCACCCGGAGGAAACCCACACAGACACGGGGAGAATGTGCAAACTCCACACAGACAGTCACCCGAGGGTGGAATCAAACCCAGGTCCCTGGTGCTGTGAGGCAGCAGTGCTAACCACTGAGCCACCGTGCCGCCCCTATGTTAATTTACACTTTGTTTACATCTCTGTTTCTTTCTCGCCACAAATAGCAGCCACTTTGTCTTTTGCACTGGGCCTCCACACCATCTGTTCTCCTTGCTGTTTTTAATTCTATCTAAACTGTTTAAAAAAAACCCCACAATTTTCCAACCCCTTTCAGTTCGGATGGAGAATCATATCAGACTTAAAATGTTGCCAGGCTTCCAGTTTATTCAGTATTTTCTCTGTTTGTCTTGCCTTGTGCTTCAGCTCAGAGTCCTCCCTGTGAATTTGTAGCTGGTTCCTGTTACCTTGCGTCTTTCTGTGTGTTTCAGGTTAAGACTTTCAATGAAGCTTGTGTAATGGTCCGACGACCAGCACTGGAGTTGTTGGCGTATCTAAAAGCTGCCAATTACTCTCACCCAGTCATCCGATATGTTGTCTGTATCCTTTTCTGGGTTTCCTAAAAAGCACCTTGCAAACAAAATGTTTAAGGGTTATAAATGCTGCTTTGAAAATATTGTTTGTGTGTGTGTGTGTGAGTTCAGTGTGTGTGTGTGAGTTCAGTGTGTGTGTGTGTGAGTTCAGTGTGTGTGTGTGTGAGTTCAGTGTGTGTGTGTGTGAGTTCAGTGTGTGTGTGTGTGAGTTCAGTGTGTGTGTGTGTGTGTGAGTTCAGTGTGTGTGTGTGTGTGAGTTCAGTGTGTGTGTGTGTGTGAGTTCAGTGTGTG